ACGTTTGAAATTTGTATGTGGGGGCTGGAGAGATGGTTCAGCAGTTAAGAGCACTGGCTGTTCTTCCAGAGGACCTGGGTTCAATTCCCAGCATCCACATGGCAGCTCACAACTGTCTATAATTCCACCTCCAGGAATCTAACACCCCCACACAGACATAGATGCAGGCAAAACATCAAAGCACACGAACTAAAAATAAACAAATCATTAAAAGAGTTTATATGTGGTCTGCCTGCATTATATTTATTCGTTTGTAAGTGTGCAGGTGTGTATATCTGTGTGTGGGTGACACATATGTCAAACTTTTTTGTTTGAGATAAGGTCTTTCCTTAAACCTGTAGTTTATCTGTTGGTTAGAGTGGCTGGTCAGGCAAACTCCTGGGAGCCTCCTGTCTGTCCCTCCAACCCCACCCCAACCTGCACTGGGATTACAGGCTTTTTACGTGGATGCTGGGATCTGAACTCAGGTTCTCATGCTTGCAAAGCAAGGACTTGACCCACTGGGCCATCTCCCCAGCTCCTTTTCTCTTCTATTTCTCCCCTGCCTCCTCCCCCGACCACCCAGGGCTGAGAATTGAATCTAAGGCCTCACAAGTGCTAGGATAGCACTCTCCCTCAGAGCTGTACTCCAGGTTGCATTATGCAGGTTGACAGGGCAGTTTTAGAACCTGAGAGTCCCGTGGTAGAACCCAAGACTCATAAAGACAGGGCATTTCAGAACTTTCCATGGGGCCACGGCCAAAGGGCCGAGAAGCAATGTACTCTGGCACTTAAGAGGACAGACTTTTAGAGGTAGGTTTCCAAATCTTTACATCAGACTGAGGCTTAGACACGTCATGCCTGCCACTCATCAGTCCAGTTGGCCTCCTGTCTAGGAAGGACAGACTCCCGCCTGTTCCTCCCTACGGAAGCCAGGCTGCAGGGCATCTCTCAACACATGTCCCCAATGGTGGACTTCAGCCCTCCCACTGGGGCCTTCTGCTTCTCATGACCCTCTCTGCCTTTCTTTCCTCAGCTGAACTGGTCCTGGGATGCCAGGGAGGGGTTGGGGTCCTTCAGGCCTCTTCACTGATGGTCTCATTTTTTTTTTTTTTCACCTGGGTAGCCGGTTGGCCTTTTGGAATCTCTAGAGCTTACTGACCGCTGGCTCCAGGAAGGCATGCGACGACAGGTATTATTGGGTAAAAATAATAGTAATGAGGATAGCTGTGCTGGACAAGAGGCTAAGCAGTTTCCCAGTAGCTCATTTAATCGTCACAGTGATGCTAAGAAGGAAACCATCTTTGCTCCCTCTACCGATAAAAGGTAGGAACCAAGGCAAATGACGTGTAGGTGAGGGCCGACTCTAGATTCCAAGAGGACCATTTGGTCCTCAAAGCTAAGCACTAGCTGGAGGGCAGTTTGCAGGGAAAGGGTTGAGAGCTGCTGGTCCTATGTACCTTGAACGTGACTGCATGTGCTTGAGGGCTCTGTGGACACCCCTGTCTTGTCCCTCACTTTCCCCTATCTGGTCCCCAACTCTTACTCCATCTCACATCCAAGCCAGACAGGTGGACCGTTGTATTTTAAAAACGGCGGAAGGAGTCACACCATACAACAGGGCCCACGTGGGGGGTTTATTTAGGGGAGGGGAGAGAAGGGGGAAAGAGACCGGTCCCTGGGGACAAGAGCAAAGGAAGAGAAAGAGAAAGAGACGAGAGGTGGGTAAGGCCCACCTTTTACAAGGAAACGTAGCGCCTGCGCACAAGAGGTGCTCTTAGGGGCTGCAGCTGAGGATATGTCCTGTCAGGACCCTAAGGGCAGGCCAGTACAGATGCCCGAATGCTTTCATGGTCATGTAGAGGGTCTTGGAATGGTAAGACTGTTCACCTTGAAGCAGGTAGGCTAAAACAAAGGGCTAACCATATTGCTGGTTCCAGAGCCAACTTCCCATCGGGGTCCAGAGTGCTTCTCTTCCTATATGGTACCTCTTCAAGGACCCAGGAATAGTGTCTAGGCTTGTTCCTGGGGGAATCTATGTTCAGTAGGTAACCCCCACCCAGCCCCGGCCCCCGTGTGCCAGTGTCCCATTCACATGGAACAGGTACTCAGAAAATCTGCCAGCTGAGGTCCTCCTCTGGTCTGGGCTCTGCCAGGTAATGCTGCTCTGACAGATTCCTACCCTCCCTGTGTCTTAGTTTCTCTATTTCTTTTTCTTAAAAGTTGTTAGGCAGTGGTGGCCCACGCCTTTAATCCCAGCACTCAGGAGGCAGAGACAGGCGGATCTCTGAGTTCCGGACCAGCCTGGTCTACAGAGTGAGTTCCAGGACTACACAGCGACACTGCTGTCTCAAAAAAAAAAAAAAAAAAAAAAAAAAAAAAAAAAAAAAAAAAAAAAAAAAACCAAGCAAACAAAAAGTTTATTTTACATTATGCATGTTTTGCCTGCATGCATCTATGTGCACCATGTGCATGCCTAGTGCCCATGGCAACCGGAAGAGGGTGGGTGGACGACCCATGGGTGCAGAGCTGAACTCCAGGGCTCTGTAAGAACAGCAAGTGCTCTTAACAACAGAGCTGTCTCTCCAGCCCTCTCCATTTCTTTCAGGAGACTTGGAGTAGTTCAGAAGTCAGAAACTCAGATGCCAATGGCGTCAAGGGGAATAACGCAGATCAATGATACGTGCTGGGATGGGGGTGTGGCTTAGTGACAGCGAGCCTGTCTGGTATGTGTGAGGAGGCCTGGTGTTCCATGGCTAGCACCCACTGTACAACAAAATGAGAAAAGGAGCTCCGAGGGCTGGCTGGGAGGCTAGCTCAGTTGGAAGCATAAAGTCCTGGGTTCCCGGGGATTTGATTCCCCACCACTCCATAAAACAGATGTGGTGGCACAGAGTGGTGTGGCCGGGGGTGCGCACAGGCCTACATGTTGGCACTTAAGAGGTAGAAGAAGGAGAATCAAAAGTTATTCTAGACCACAAAGCTGGTTTGAGACCAGCCTTGACTACTTGAGGCCCTGCCTTTAAAAAAAAAAAAAAAGTCGTCTGCTCCGGTTGCTCCAGGGTCTGCAGCCTTATTGGCTGGGCTCCTCCACCTGGCCCTGTCCTCAGGGAACCTCCAGCCACTTGCTGATAACACTCACTTAGAAACCTCTGGCCCCTGAGAATGTTTTTCTTTGTCTTTGTCGGAGTGTAATTGGAGCATAACAATGGCACTGTTAACGGGGGAATTAGCGGATTTGCCGAAGCCACGTTTTCTTGCTGGCTTGATGCTGCCCTGGTTTTCCCTCCCTCCCTCTCCCCCCCACCCACTCATCTTCCATCTCAAAACAAACTTTAGTTTCCAAAACATCCCGTTTCATATCTACTTTCCATGGGATAAGCTGCCCATTTCACAGGTTGTCTCCATGTGCTTAGCAGGTACCAAGTTTTCTAGTCCTTGTTACTGAACAACCTGCCTGTCTCCCTCCCTCCCTCCCTCCTTCCCTCTCTTTCTCCCCCCCCCACTCTCGGGTGGAGGTGGGGGAGGGAACTGTTACACCATGTGGTCGATGCTGTAATTATGATGACCATGTTCCCCAAAACCACAGATCAGGTCACATGGTCGGACACAGGCTATTTTCTACCTTCACCGCAGTCCAAACATGAAATCATATGTCGTTATACATTCATCAAATCACCTTAAATTTCCTTTTGAAAAGCAGATGACATGAAATTTGGATTATCCCACTGTCTTCATAGAAAATCATTAAAACTGTGATCAGGGCCTGCACAGACCTCTAGGCAGAGCGAGGTCTCCTGGATGAGGTGCTGTGGACGGTAGGTTTTGAAGGCTGAATAGGAGGTTTGCAGACAGAGAGAAGGGTGGTCAGAGTCAGCCCTGGACAGGACCCACTCTTCTGCTTTAAAGATACCCAGCTTAGGAACTGGTGAAGCCAGTGAAAAGGCTCGGGTGTTCGCTTGCTTATGTGAGCTTGTTTTATTGACATCTCATTTCAAGGACCTAGCCCAGCCCACAGACTACTAAAACACGCAGGCATTGCAGTGTGTCTTCCTATATGTGCTTACATGCCTCGCCTCGCTCTGCAGCCGCTAATACGGTGTACTGCACCGAGGGAGGCCCTTACCTTTCTTGCTCACCCCTCCTTCCCTGCCAGGACTGTGTGAGGAAGACTCTAAAGGAAGCACTAGTCGATGTCTAAATGAACGAAAGAACGGAGTGCCAATGCCGGGCGGGGCGTGGTGGCGCACGCCTTGAATCCTAGCACTCAGGAGGCAGAGCCAGGTGGATCTCTGCGAGTTCGAGGTTCGAGGCCAGCCTGGTCTGCAGAGCGAGATCCAGGACAGGCACCAAAACTACACAGAGAAACCCTGTCTCCAAAAAAAAGGAGTGCCAATGGGTGTGCACTTTGTCAGTAGACAGTACCAGCCATGTGCTAAGTACTATGCAGGGCACTGGGGCCCAGCAGGGTTCCGGACAAAGACCTCCAATGACCTTGGACTAGGGAGCAGAGCTGGGTAGCTGGCAGGCACCGGGAGGGTCGTGAGGAAGGAGATGGGGAGTGTACAGCAGAAGGCCTGGGCTGCATCAGGAGTTTAGGAAAAGCCCAAGAGAAAATAAAGTTTAACCTTGAGGCCTAAGGGATCACTCTCATAGTTGGGCAGTGGCGGCACAGGCCTTTTTAATCCCAATACTCAGGAGACAGAGGCAGGTGGAGCTCTGTGAGTTCAAGGCCAGCCTGGTCTACAGTTCCAGGACAGCCAGCAATATACAGAGAAAAAAACAAAACAAAACCCAAAAACACAAACAAACACAAAACAAGGAATGCCATCATGGAGCTCCCACGTGATGGAAGGGTTTACATATTTAATTCCCACCGAGCCCTCAGAAGCACACACAATTATTGCCCACAGTGCAGAGATAAGAGCACAGACAGGTTGAGAAGATGATGACCATGGCCACATAGTTTAGATACGGCAGAGCCCCAGAAAGACAGGCTTCGGTACATTCCTTTAACAAAAATCAGCAGCCCGGGGCTAGGCTTTACGGCTCAGGCCTTTGATCCCAGCATTCTGGAGACATAGGCCAGCCTGGTCTACAGAGCACATTCCAGGCCAGCCAGGGCTCCATCGTGAGACTCCGTCTGAAAATAAATAAGCGGACAGGCCAAGTGGGAGGTGAAGATCTGTCCACTGAGGGAAAGTAGGTAACAGACAGACACCCAGGCAAGACACTTCTCCTAGGAGGGTGGGAAGCCAAGCTGCTGGTAACTTTCAACAGGAAATGGGCATGATGAAGTTTCATTAAAAGCTGAAAGGGTGGTGGTGGTGGTGGTGGTGGTGGTGGTGGTGGTGGTGGTGGTAATCTCAGCACCTGGGAGGCAGAGTCGGGTGGATCTCTGTGAGTGAGGCAGGTGGATCTCTGAGTTCAAGGCCAGCCTGGTGAGTTCCAGGACAGCTAAGTGCTGTTACACAGAGAGACCCTGTCTCAAAACATCCCCCCACCCCCCAAAAAAGGGCAAGCGGAGAGGAGAGGCTATGCATCAGCACTGATGAAGGAGAAACGGAGTTGGGAGAGAAAGAACACAGCTTGAGGCAGGAGCAATGGGAGGGCTCATGGATGACATATGGGACACAGAGACTGGACCGTGTGGGCTTGAGCTCACAGGAAGATGAGGCGTGATGAGCTCAGCCGCTGCCTTGCTAAGACGCAGCAGATGAGATGGTGGGATAGCCAGGAGTCTCACGATGGTCTCAAGAGGTCACTGGGCCCCAGGAAGGGGCCTGGGGAGTGGTCATGGGGGGAGGGAGGAGGAGCAGAACATAGGCTGGGGCTCCCCGCCCGCCAGCCACACAGACCCTCACAAGCTGCAAGGCCCGGCTTCTGATGCCGGTTTTGAAGACTCCGAGGTAAAAAATGCTGTCATAGACATGGGGTTGGTTACCTAACTCCCAGGCTGACCCTCTGAGTCTGCGTTGGACATGCCCTTGACCTGACTGGCTCCCTGCCATCTCGCTACCCAGGAGAAGACTTCTCTCTCCAGGAGGCCCCTCAGGATTAGGCTCGGTCCAGGCTGGATTCAGCCGCTCCGGAGGCTAGCCTCAGCGCCTGACATCCTTGTCTTTTCTGACTCAGCCTTTCCTTCCTGCTTCCTCTGCCATGTTCCACGCAGCTTTTCCAGAACCACTTCCACATGGTCCTGGTGGATTGTTCCTTGTACCAGAAAAGTCCATCTTCCTTTCCCAAACCCACCCTAGCTGTTCATCCGATCCAGCTTACCGGCTGACTCCCTGGAACCCCTCCCTCCCTTTGCTCCTTCAATCTTGAGAGCCATCTTGCCCCCTTACCTCTCTCCTGGCTCACTTTGGCCAGAATAAAGGGATGGGGGGGGGGCTCATCCCCACTTGAACTCTTTAAACACCTCGTTCCTACGGCCTCCGCCTCCTGAGCGCTGTGCTGTGGAATTATAGGCATGCACCATCTATGCAGTGCTGGGGGGATTAAACCCAGGGCATCCTGCATGCTAGGCAAGCCCTCCACCAATTGGGCGACATCCTCGGCTCATAGCTTGAGCATGGACTCCGCCCCTCCCACAGTGTCTAGAATACAGATCCTGTCCACAGGGCTGACGGAATGGACCCTTCTAAACTGCCGTCCGGGGTCTTGACCTGCTCAAACCTCAGCCGCCCATTTTTTTTTCAAGGACTTTACACTGCCCAGTGTGGAAACTCAGATTGCCAAGAATTTGCTGGTCTATGCTGTTTTCCCCCGTCCAACTGGTGGCGGCTGCAGTATGTACTCGGAAGTCACATCCTGTCCACACGTGGCCGGCAGTTGTGGGCTGTGGCCCTATCTTCGGGTCGGGTCCTGTTTGACTACGCTCCTTCCAAAGGTGTTAACCTGGGCACCTACAGGAAGCAGAAGCCTGGTAGTTTCTCGGCTCCAGACCAGCATCTCTCTGTGTTTAGGCCTCACTATCCCCACCCCCTACGTGGGGAGACACAGGTAGGCGGCTGACCATCGAGGACACCTGATCCCATTGGGGAAATCCTGTGGGCCTGTCCTGCCTCTCAGTGCCAGCTGCCTTCTCTGAACTTCCCACTCTGCTCCAATTGTTCTCACGTTTTTTTTGTTTTTATTTTTTTATTTTATTTATTTATTTTTTTCAGTTCAGTTCTGTTCCTGCAGTTAACAGCCCCGGACCTCTGATCGTGCTTGAGACTCCAGGCTGTTGCCCCGCGTGTTTGCAGTGGCCTCAGTCTGTCTGCCTGGTAATCTGCAAGGACCCTTTAAGGGTTGTTAATACCTACCTACCCTTCCACCTGACCCCACTTTCCTCTCTCTTGCAGGTTTACTGGCTGGCTGAGGGATGGCTGATCTCTTTGGGCTGAGAATAAATGTTACCACCAGCAGCTGTTCAGGGCTCTCAGTAGAGGACAGGAGACTCAGTGTTTCCGTCTGCTTAATGGGAGGAACCTGGTCCAACCTGCAGGGTCTTTGAGATGGGTGGGAACCGCTGAGGGTGGAGGACAGGCCAGGTGGGAGAAACTTTGGCGCGCGTGGCCCTCTACCTCTTAGTCAGCCTGCTATAAGCCACAGAGAGGACTGACTGACTGATGAAGCTGGGAACAACTTGTTGAGGTTGATGACACTCTAGTAAACAATGAAATCAGTCCATGAATCAGATCCTCCCAGTAAGGGGAATTACAAGTGTGTTTCGGTCAGAGAGATGGCGGGCGGGTGGGTTTAGGTGTGAAGTCCTGCCCTGGAGGGGTCACACTGACAGGTACCTGTTGTCGAGAACCTGTCTGAGGAGGCCCTGGAGGGTTGTCACAGGCCAGCGGGGGTGGGGTGGGGGGCAGAACCCGCAGCCCCGGGGGCCCAGCCAGCGATTCCAGGCCCCGAAGTCGCGGCGAGGGCGCCTCTTTGTCCCCCCTCCTTCCCTCGGCCGCCTCTACCGACCCCCAGCGCCAGTCCCTCTCTGACCCCAAATCACTTGTTGGTTTCCCCAGGGCTTTGTCTGCTCGGGGGTCATCGGCTCCGGGACCCTGGCCGGGGACGCATCGCCCCTCCGCGGGTCCCGCGTCTGACACCCCCCACTTCGGGCCCGGGCCCCCGCCCCCTACCCGCTCCGAGACCGGGGTCAAAGGCAGCCCGCGTCACGTGGTCGCCGAGCAGCACCGAATCGGCCGGGAGAGCCGAGGGAGAATCGGGGTGGAAGCGAGAAATCCTGCCCGGCTCGCGGCGCCCGGTC